GGGGGACGCAGACATCTCTATAGATTACCATGAGAGCGTATCTTGTGTGGGACGTGTGAGTGAAAGCCGTGTCTGATTGCGGTGTAGACGTGGCATAGCAAATTGTGGCTTGTGCAGAGTTGATCAAACATTACAGCAGCGGTTGTTGCAGACTCACCTCACGGATATCTGCACTCTCACTTTCAGGCTCCCAATAATTTTTGTCAGCGACGTGTGTGTCCATTTTGAGCACTGACGTGGGGCTTTGTTTTCATTTTGTCATGCGGCACTTGTTTTGTTTCTGCGGCTTTGTACCATAGTGTCCGATTGATTGTCATTCATTGCAACCAGAAAGCATTTATGCCATGTGAAAAAGTGTGTCGTTTGGTAGGAACATAATGTAAAACAAGACATAAACACAAGATTATACTACAACTATCTTCTAATATCATGTAGGACAAAGCCTCACCAAATGGAGTCGTTTGTGTTTCCAGTGGCACTGTGGCACTTGTTTCAACTCTTTTTTGGCACGTCTCTACTTGTTAGGAGAAAAGGTCTCAAAAGCTCTTCTCTCCCAAGGCTCCTCTCCGCTACTCACAAGCAATAGGGAACATATAAGAAAGGTTAATTAGGTTCAAGTATGGCTTGTTGCCGTGTTAGGCTCACCCCGTCTTGAAGGACACAAGGATCTCCTGTGTTAAGGAAAGGCAGAAGAGCGTGAGCGAGAAGGTCACAGTGGCAACTACTTTACTGATGGAAAATGGTCACATAGTACTCACTTAAAAATACATTTCCCCATAATTCTTTGAAAAAAAAAGAACATTGAGCATTTGAAGCGTGAGCCTTGAGGATATTTCTTTGTACTGTAATCATGAGGGGAAGGAGCTAAACGGTGCAGCAAAGCAGCTCATTTGTAACTTGAAACTATGTTGTAGAGAGCCAATTTATTGCTTGCTATTATTCAGGTTTGAGGACATTTACCAGCTTCTGCGGCTTCTTAGAGATGCAAATGAGGCCCAGATTCCAAAGTAAGAAAAATCTTGCAGTTAAAAAAATAGAACATAAAAGAACAGTAAACAGCTTTTTTTGTATATAAATCAAATTCAATGTCAAATATCATCTGAAGGCTACTGAAACTGTTATGTCTCAAAATCGTTTCATAATAATATACTTACTGCATGGATTTAGCAAATGCCCACAGGTATACTACATAAGGAAATCATCAAGACTTGAGCGGACGGAACATAATCCACTCCTTGACAATGGGAAAATCTACCTCAATAATAAAATAGGATATCTTTCAAACAGACACACACTACATAACATACACACACACACACACACAAATATGCTCTGGATGTTACCACTGTCAATCGCTTTTCTGTACAGTAACAAAGGCTTAGGATGCGGTGCATAATCACTCTGTTCTGCTTTTGTATCCTGATGAAATCGTTCAACCGTAAAAGAACCACTAAAAAGTAAAAGTATTTTTGCACATTTGTTAGTGTGTTTTATTTTGTAGTTCGGTTGCAACTCACATTAGTAGACAATAAGCAGGGACAGCTACCCTAAAACAAAGTTGACTGTGATTAAAAATCAAACGGTTTGTAGTGTACAAATTGCAGTTATTTCGATGACTCTCTTCAACCTCAATGACAGATTCAGGGCACGGGAGAGCTGACAGGTTCTGCTGAAGAAGAACACCTGCTCAGAAGGGCCACAGTGTGTGTGTGTGTGTGGGGGTGGTTTGTTGCAAACACACACACACAAACAATCTCGGGTTTAGTTTTTTAACTTTTCATTTTCCCGCACTTTATTAATGAATTGCTCTTTGTCTCATCAGAAAAGTGCAAAAGTGCTGATCCGTCCAAGTTGCCTGTGTTAGAAAAAAACGTCTCCTCATTAGCATGTTAGCATACCGTTAGCAGACAATAGGCTCCAAGAGAAGTGTAAAATGATTAAACAGGACATTAAATACTTGCAACTCATTAACACTACTCCAAAGGTTTCCTTCCCCGGCTTTGAATTACACAGTCCTACACAACACCACCGGCCACCTTTCTCACATCAAAGAAAGACAGTTGTTATTCATGATTGTAGGAGATGGGAGAGAACACTTAAGCAATAAAACTTCACAACATGAATTATTTGGAATACTATCCTTATACTGCCTCATAAATAATCCTTTACATATGTTTACCCAGAATACCATGTGTGTCAGTGTGAGGTCACAAAATTTCTGTCCACTAAGACAAAACATTATTTAAGTTTTCCCAACAGTGAAATATATGGTGATGTAGATTATTATAAAGAAACTGAGACCCGGTTCATAAATTAGACCAATTAACAAAATGTATTCAGTGTACACCTGGATACAGCTGTGCCCAATGTACTGCAATCAACCGAAATGCATGCACGTAAAACTTGATAGCACCACTTATAGTGACCGAAACTTTCGAAATCCGAGTTACATTGAACGCACCTTCCAGTGTAAAACCTTATTGAGCCACCATATTCTGTAAATAACTAGTCAACTTGAAAGGACCAGGAGGCGTCACATGTCCAGCGGCGTGGACACTGCTTTTCACACCTCTGTATCTGTATAAATACCTGTAGGCACCCATTGTTTTAGGAATTTGTTGGTGGAAGACAGTCACTATGGGTAGTCAGTGAGTGAAATGTTGATTGCAGAAACCAGCGGCTCCTCAGCTGAGAGCTCTTTGTAACACATTTTCTTTTATTAAAATCAAACCATGTCTTCTGTCCATCCAGTTTCTTCATTTCTACACAACAGTGATTAAAGAAAGTGAGTTTGTAAAACTCTGCGGCATCTTTTTTATCCGTACGTTCCTGCTTACCGCAAAACCATCAAAGACCATCAAAGACTCTCAGTGGCACAAAATAGAAAGTCATTATGAAAGGAATAATAGCAGCTAAGCAGACAAAAGATGAAAAAGGATTAAAATCCACATACATCGAAGGCCCAAAGGAAACTTTAGCACTTGAAAAATCATAGTGGGTAGTGAATTCAATGATCTACAAAAGGGAACTGAAAGTTTTAACACTAGACTTTGTAAACTGATGAATATGTGAAACCCTCAGAGGCATTTATAAAGAAGTGTTTCATGCCCATGAAGTTTTTTGTATCTTTGGCACTGGTGTTGAAGAGGGGCTTTGTTCCCACAGCATTCATCAATCACCTGTCAGCTGACATGCCGCGTTAGCGTGTGGTGGCAAGCACTAAATAAGTCTCACTGATCATATTTATTGAAAATGCACGAGTGCAGCCAAAACCACAATGACCGGTCTCTTGATTCTATTCAGCGGAGCACTCAGACAGTGGTAATGAAATTCGCCGTGAAACTACTGACGCTTTTGCCTGAAGCACTCTCGCTTGCACTCGTTACATCAGCGCTTCTCTTTTTTTCCCCTTTAGTCTGCTGCTATCCCACCGATTGTTCTGACTACCAGCTCGTCAAATACCGATGCTGGCCAGCGCACCTTGATACCTGATGCAGACTCACCGGTGACAGATGTAGCTCAGGAAGTCGAACACATTGTTTGCTTATTGCAGGATTGGTGGTTAGGTCACAACCTCATTACCACTTTTTAAAATACAGCAGCTTTGAAATGCATACATGGCTCACTGAGATACTTTCATTTAAGTCTGAGGAGGACTCAATGATGGACGTAGTTAAACAACTACGGTGTTCAAGAGACCAGGCGAGAGCCACCTCAGGGACACAGAAATTATCATTTTTCTTTTCCGTTTTTCAGGCGTATAACGACATTGCTTAACATTCAAGGATACACATGCCTCTATGGACACCTTTCAAGGGTATTGAGTGAAATCTACATAAAATATTTCCTGATTTCCTCTTGGAAGTATTTTTGATAAAATTCTACTTTTTTCACATATTAGCACAAAAAACATTTCAGCCCCTTGTGAAGAAAACAGAATGTTAAAAGCATTCCATATTCCTTTTCAGTCATTAGATGTGTTGCGCAATATGCTCCGGTAGACAAGTTATGAACCTGAAATATCACTTTCTAAGTCAGTAATGTGACAGAATAAAAAACAAATAAACAGAACTTTCTTTCCTCGTTTTGTTTTGTGTGATCATGAACTAAATTTACATTTAGTCTTGTTTTATGGAGCAGGAGAAAGCAGCACCAAGCTGAAGGAGGACGATGTGTGTGGCAGTGTTAATTTAGGCAGCTATTTTTGATTTAGTTTTAGTCTTTAGACGAAAAATGCATATTAGTTTTAGTCACATTTAGTCATTTTAATCCTTCTTAGTTTTAGTTTTCGTCGACGAAAACTAGACTAAAATGTAATTGTTTTAGTCTAGTTTTAGTCACATTTAATAGCCATATTAAACTCCTTTTCTTCCCTTCTCAGGCCCAGGGAGCCCCTGTGTTGTGTCTACAACTGCATAATAGTCTAGCTTGCAGTTCTTGGTTGTCCATTACATGTCCCTTCTAGGACAGGTCTATAGCCGGGGTCGGCAAACTTTTTGACTCAGGCCACAATGACGAAAGATACCGAAAAGATGCATCATATTCAACCAAAAATGCAAAGTATTTACAAAGCAGCCTATAAACCAATACAGAGGTTCAAAATGACAAACAGATATATATTTGAAGGGTTAGTTGTTGCTGCTTTTTGGATAAAGACGTATTCTTATTGACAGTGAATCAGAGAAATAATCATTGTTTTGCTTCATGCAAGGGTCAAAGAGCGGCTCATTTAGAGAGAGATGGAATCAAGCACAGTCTTATGCTTTGAGCTCCAACTTGTGGTTCTCAAAAATACCCTGAGCTCTCTTGTCTAATAGTTTTTGTCTGTTCTGAATCTTTTGTGTGCATTCATTTATTTTTCATAACCACTTCTATGTGAGTCTAATAATATGTAGGATTCCCTAACAGGAACACGTTGTATATGTCAATGTGCACTTGGATAAAATAAAGGTGTGTCTAGATAATTGGGCTAAAGCTAGCTGCTAACAGCTAAAGCTCGTTGTGCACACGGTCAAGCACACCGAACACACCGCTGCTGTCTCCCACTGGAACACGTCGCCCACCAGCGTTCACCAAGACTACTTTCAGTAAGTTCCCTTTGACTCAAGAAAGAGACCATTCTTGTAGGAATAATAGCGTGTACACTATTAAGGTAGCAATTCTAATGAAGCCAACTTGTTTTCGTCTATTTAAGGGTCTATTTCATTGCAGCACCTGTTCTTTGATTAAGCTAGCTAACTGTTGTCTCAACTAATGCTAGCTGCTAATTAGCATATCAAACTGAACTGTCTTTTGTTTTTAACTCTGCGTAATGGAAACTGGGTCGTGGCAACACTCGTATTCATCAATGGCTCGTTGGTTTTAAGTAGTGAATTAATGAGCTTTGGTCTAAAGTGACTTGAAGCTGAAATAACTGCAGGTTGAAGGTGCTTCACCTCCATGACCACATGGCGATAAGCGGCTAACTGACTGTTAACGATACGTCAGGACTCGCCTCCACGTAAGTTACCGTCACACTGTACTAGTTAATTCTCAGTTAAACTAACAGGCCAATGCAGTGCTTACGTGGTAATATAATGGAGGTTAATAATGTCACTTTACTCAAACCTAATTAGGCACATGTGTGCTGGTATCGTGGACACCGCTAACGTTGTTCGCCTTTGTTACAGCGCTTTTTCCCGTCGAGGTAGCGGGACTCATAGTTATTACTGCGCACTTATCCTGCTTTTACAGCGGCTTATAACTTGAGTGTGGACTGCACGTGTAATGTAAACCACACGTCTCCTCTCCGTTGTGGTCGCGGTTTCTGTCCTCTGGGTGAGTTCCGTAGACGGAGCACGGAGGGTTTTCATCGTCGGTGTGAGACGTGAAATGTGCTGTTCGCTCTCCTCCCACCAGAGACGCTCTGCTGGTGACCGTGAAGGAGTTTTGAAGCGTTAAAACGTTTCTCTTCCAGACGGACGAGGTTCGTTAGACGCCGTTTAGGGAAGCATATACCGATACTCGTATAAAGATAATTGATATTTAATTGTGTCTGCTAGTTAGACGTGATATTTATCGGCGTTGTAACGTCACTTCGCATTGGACTAACGTTCCACGTGTCCGGAAGTAAACAAGGAGACGCATATGCAAACACACGTTTAACGTGAATGTCGCAAATAAAATTGTACCAGTGATACTTTGTTGCTATTTACACTTTTGTTGTTTTATTTGGGGTTAACACAGTTGTAGTTCATTCCGCAAACCATCCGTGAGAGTGTCAGTGAGGGGAATGACTTCCTCATCTCCGACACGATGTCGCTATCGCTTCTCGGCCTTTTGGCTAAGATCAAGTGTAGTATCTGTTCTTATCAGTTTAATATCTGATACGTCCCCTACCCGGGGACCATATATTAAATTGATTTTTGGAATAGGGAGATGGAATAGGGGCTTGCTCCGTCCACTCCACGCATCGACCTGGTATTGCAGTACCTCCAGGAACGGTGCACCCCCCCCAAACGTGTCTAAGACAACTTCCCCAGTAAGTGTGCGTTGGTGTGATAGTGGATGTACTGCATCAAGACAGAATGTCAGAGGTTTATTAAGAAATAACTGAATTCTCCATGTAGGGAGGACATGTTCGTTCATTCACGTAACTATTCACATTGATTCAAATCGTTGATGGGCTGTAATGTATGCCTCGTTTCCGAACAGCACAGAGGGAGACAGAGGAGCGCTGATTGTTATTGCTGTTACCGTGCTATGATCAAAAAGATTAATTTCCAATTAGTTGTAATTTCCCCAATTTGGCTGATCTGTATCTAATGTAACACACAACAATCAGTCATTATGGAGGTAATCATGTCCAGTTCTTAGTTGAATTGTATTTATATTTGATGAACATGTAGTGTGATTACTACTCCAGACCAATAGGTGGCAGTGTGTCATTAGAGCACAAGCAGTAAAGAAAGGAACAGGAAGTGGTTGAAATGAAAGAACGCATTTGTAATTTTATTCTTTCCTTTTGAATTCCAGACGAGGAACAAATCACTTTCGATTGCAGTTTTGCTTTGTCTCATGTGAACCTTCTGTTGAATTGTCACACATTTGTTGGAGATAAATAGATGCAGCTGGCGATTTTAGGTTGTCTTTTCTTTTGAAAATACAGCATTGCATCATGGGAAATTAGAGCATCGTTTATCAAGTAAAACGTATATTATCTTTGTCCCCCCTGGTGAATACGACTTTACTCTACATGAACTTCCTGCAGGTTCTTGGAGCTCTTCTAGTGTGTGTTTGTTGTTGTCGTGATGGTCGGCACCATCGGTCAGCTTGGTGTGTGTGTGAAAGACTGCCCTGACTCTGATGTGTACAACTCATACTTACCTGGCAAGGGAGATACCATGATCAAGAAGGTGGTTCACCCAGGGCGAGGCTTAGCCATTGCACTCCGGTTGAGCTGACCTCTGCGAATTCCCCAAATGTGGGAATCTCGATTGCATAATTTCTGGTAGTGGGGGACTGCGTTCGCGCTCTCCCCTGATAACATGTAAATGGAAATACATTAGTAATTCAGGATGAGAGAAGCAGATTATTGTGCTGCTCTGCATCAAGTCTCTGGAAGGCTCCTCAAACATATCTTGTTCTTACAGCTTTCCAGTGATGTTTTGTTGCCAGTGAAGATACCTTCTGGTTAATATCAGGGCTTATACATATTTCATTATAAAGTTTTACATCTCAAAATTATAGTTTGCTATATTGATGGAATTATAGAATAAAGACAATTGTTAACGTTATTTCCATTATTCCTGTTATGAGACTTTTAAACTCTTATGCAGACCTTCAGTCTGCCCCAAATTTGTGGAAAATGGAAACATCTAACATGTAGCTGCAGTCTAACATGAAAGAGTAAACATCAAAGAAGGCCAGTTTGTATTGAAGTAAGAATAAAGTATTTTCTATTACAGCATCAACCGAAGCATCTGAACATAAAAGTCAGAGAAAAGCTGCTCAGATGTTTAAACAAACGACTCCATGTATTTTCTATCTGCGAGTGGTCTTCCACGCCTCGCTATCTGGTGAACTGACACAAAACTAGCAGCAGTTGTCTAGTTTGAAGACTTGATCACCATCATGAAAGTACTGTAACAGTCTGAGTGACAAATGTCTTATGTGTTACAAGTGTTCACGAGAAGAATAATTGGTGACGGAAATGAGTCCGTCTACACAGAAAGGAACCAGTTTCCTTTTTGGGGGATTTAGCCATTGATGAATTACCGAGGGGGAGGTCTGCAGACTATGTTCAGCCCCCTGCAGGGAAAGGGTGTAATGGGGCGTGATGCACATTTTATATATTACCACATTTTTTATTTTCCATTTATCACTCAAGCTCCAAGATAAGAGGTGTTTACCTTGAAAGATGGTCCACTGTGCAGGTTGGTGACCTCTGTCCTATGAGATGTATTGGTATATAAGTATAAAGTAGCTTAAAAAGAAATAAGCTAATGTTGGCTCAAGTTCCGTATTGGATCAAATGTACTTGGTTACGTTGTAGCTCAAGATGAAGGGTTTTCCGTGACGTGTACCAGCTGTGTGCTTGAGCTATCAAGACAAATTGGCATTAAAGTTTTTCCTTTACTCAGGTCCCCGTTGTGCAGAACAGCCCCCTCAAGTTCACCTAATGAGCGCCGTTGCTCGGTGGAATACCAACGGGATCTCAGACGCAGTGTTTGGCCTCAGAGGACGGAACCACAGGACGGCCTCAACACCTGCTGCCAGTTTCTGTTCGGCGAGACTGAAACACCTGTAAGTTTTCCTTTTTTACTTGGTGTCTGTTTGACTGTCTGTGGGATAAACAATGCTTCATTTACTTGCATATAGAGTTTGATATTCTCACATTCATATTTCCTTAACTAAAAATAAAAACAATTAGGTCAAGATCCACGCTCGGGCTCCACCAGCATGTAGCCTATTGCATTGAGTGTGTATTATTTGGTATAATTTTGTGAAATTGTAGGTTATTATGTAGATATTTCTGCTGGACTATTCTGGTAACTAATAACTTATTTGCGGTCTTGCTTTGTCTTGTGTTGCTTGATGTTTGACTATGTTAGGAACGTTGTTCTCTCTGCCAACTCTCACGGTTTCCCCCTGTGATACACGCGTTTGCATGTTTTCACACGCACTCACGCCACACATCCAACTTCTTGCGTTAAAAAAATTCTGCGATGGTTTATCTCCAACCTCGCCGACGGTAGACAGCGCATCTGTAACGCTATCCGCTGCACGGTTGGCCGTAGCGTTTACCCGACAACATCTCACTCTGTAGCGATCACCAAAACATTACAAAGAAGCCGACGTGAGAGCACTAAATACTAGCATCAATGTCCGAGCATGTTATAACAAGCTTGCTAACATCGCTAACGCTATATCTTGGTAGCGGCTAAACTTACTTTGTTTATGACAAACTAGCAAGTCAACAATTTTCCAATCAGTCAAACATCAAGCAAGTGTGTTGTGACATTCGGCTACTGTAGCTGTGTCATTCCTCACGTACCGTTCATACCGGTGTTACGCCTTCATACCGGTGTTACGCCTTAACAACTGATGTTGCTCTTCGGCAGGCGGCAGATTTTATTCTTAGACATCATTGAGGAACATTGAGCCTTTTCGGGATCAATGAATTAATGTGTTTACTTGAACAAGCAAAACCATGATATACCGGTATACCGTCAGAATCTTTCTTAATACTGTGATACAGATTTTTGGCCATACCGTGCAGCCCTAATGCGGCGTATAACGTAGACTACACCACTGCTCCTATCCTATGCAATAAAAAGAAAAAGTACTTGCGTATAGGGCTGTCACAATATCACATGCATCAACTGCTTCTTCCTGGAGAAACTTGGTCAGCCTGCACTCTTTTTTTTTTTTTTGAACCGATGCCCGAGTCTGGTGACAAAGTAGAGTTCTTCTCTGGAGAAGGTTACACAGCCTCTTCTTCTTGGTGGCTGGCGGTTCATATTCAGATCCTTCATTTCACCCTGCAGCTTTACCTCCAGCACTGGCACGTTCTCCTTTTCCTCCGCCCTCGTTCATGTCTAGTAGTTCTTGCAAGAGCTTTTCTTTGACATCATCCAAGACCTCCACATCCTCCATGGTACCACGATGTCTTGTCAGTGCTCAGGCTTTACTGAGGACATGGTGACGTATTGTTCCCCTGAGAGGACATCCGTGAAATCAGCCACTGGCTTCATTGCTGCGTTAATGGATTCCAACACAGAAACATCCTGCCAGGTTGGGCTGAGGTGGCCATGTTTTTGATCTTCAACCAGGACACGTCTTATGGCTGGGAGTTGCTCTAGTACTCATTCTATCATTTGTTGCTTGGTACCCCATCGTGTGGCGACATCCTGTGAAAAATATTGCATTGTTTTTTTTTTTGTGTTTTTTTCATTAGTATGTTTATTCTACAAATACTACTTTTACTAGTAGTATCTTCACAAATAATTTACTTGGTAATAACTTGTTGTTATATAACACAAATTATCTTCACTCACCAGTACAAGATTGTGTTGGAGGACATTGGTTTCAGTTTGTGCCTTCCTCAACTCTCTTCTTTAGCCAGATCGGGTTGAAGGTGTTGTCAAGATTCCTACAAAGTCCCATTGCACGCGCTGCACGATCCTTTTCACCATCCAGTCCATGGGAAACCGCCAAATGGAGTGTGTCCAAAGCAATGGAGCCATGGCCAGCCAAGAATACGTATGGCAGCCACAATGTTAGCACCGCTGTCTGTAGTTATACAGGCCATTTTACGCTCATCAAATTCCCAGTCTGCTAACGCAGACTAAAGGGCTTCAGGGAGAACATCCACAGTGTGGTTCTCTGGTATGTATTTGGTCTCCAACAGGGTTCGTATGGTCATGGAAAACCTGGAAAAGTCATGGAATTCAAAATGGTCATTTCCAGGCCTGGAAAAGTCATGGAAAGAAATAAAATCCTAAAAGTTTTGGAAAAGTCATGGAAATTTGTTATATTTCTATGGTCATGTGGTTCATTGAAGATTACGTTTGAAATCATTCATATGGTTTTAAAGAGACGCAGGACGCTCTGATACTCGCAGCGCAAATAATTCGCACCGCGGCTGTGTAAACGTGCCTTAACTGAAAAGTTTGGTAGCTCAGGAATCATCCAGTGTCAGGGAAGTGTCTGCTAGCAGCAGTTCCAAGTTGTAAACGGAGGGTGTGGCGGCGTTGCTTCGGTGTTCTTTGTCATTGAGCCGTATTAAGCTGCAGACACGTGACTTAATTTTCCTCCTCGCATGACAGGAGATCATTTGATTCTTTTCGTTTTGTGTTTATTTTATGCTGCAATGCGTCAACATCATATACAATTACTACATTCTGTCACACGGCAGATAAACGATATGCTCTTGTGTCTAATGCAGCTCTTCTGTGTTGCACCTACTGCAATCACGACGTCAATACATGGAGATACACAAGGAGCGTCAATCCAACATAAATGTGTTCAATACAAGTTACATATCTTTAGTTCCTGCACAATGACCATAAATTAAATGATTAATATTCCCAAAATTCCAATGAAGTAATACATACTCCATACTTACAGAGACTGTCTACTGTTAACAGTTCATGTATTGTCCATAATTTGAAGTAAAATAATGGGAAAACAAGTATTGTTTTAGGCACTGTTTAGGCCCTGTTATGTTTTATAAGTATCGTTTTAGCACTGGTATAAGGAAAACCCCAAACGATACTCATCCATAGTGGATAATTGTAGAATTATAACCTCTTGAGACCAAATTGAATGGTGGTGGAAACACTGTATGCTTTGGTATTCTCACTGTTAGTTTAAATACTACATTTTCTCGCTTTTTTATGAATACACTGAGATTTCACACTTATTTGGTCATATAAGGTAAGGTGTCATATTCGAGCGCTACCACATGAAGAATGTCATCTTTTACTTTATTGTACAAGGAGGGAATGGCATTTTGAGAGCGGCATTTTCTTTGGCAATTCGTACGGTTTGTCAAATGTTTGCAGCATATTTTTAAATGCTGGTTTTTCAACCGTGTTTAATGGTTGCATCTCTTTGGCTATATAGCGAGTTACGCTATCCGTGAATGTGCGCTATTTCTCGCTATCATGTTTATTTTTGCATCGAAGAGAAAGGGGAGCAGGAAAAGGCATCTGTAACAGATAACTGTCTGGAAGCTGCAGTTGTTGGTGTTGTCCTTCCAAGGTTTATACACTGGATAGGATGGTGTTTTTTTTTTTTTAAGTGAATTTTAAATTTTGTTGTTTCCTCTTTTCGTCGCCACTGTTTTTAAACAAAGTCTGCATACTGGCTCGTTCACGTTGTTTGGCTCCACTCTCTCATTCGGCTTAAAGCCAAAATGCTCCCAAACTTAAGCCGAATATTGTGCCTTGGACTTGATTATCTTACCGGCTATGGCTGTAGATGTTACAAAAAATAACACGTTATAACATTGTGGGTTCACTCGGTCTCTTCACTGGTCCGTGTGCGCTCTGTATCTGTGTGTGTGTGCGCCTAAGCCCCGCCCCCGCTTTTCACAAGGAAACAGGATTGAGACAACGCAATCAAATTAAATGTTTGTGACGTTCATTTATATGTAAAATGAATATCGCAGCACCAAAAATTGTTGCACGCGATTTCAGCCAGGGTGCAATATGTCATTTTATCGCATATTGGGACAGCCCCACTTGCATACAAGTTAATAAATGTGTTTGCAGTTGTGGTTTTTATTGCTAGTATTGATGGAATCTCTTCTGTCTTGAGGTTGCATTATTAATTTTAACTGAAAGAACATGGTCTAACTAATTTGAATTTAAAATAACAAAAGTTCTTCTCTCAGCCTGAAATACATCATGATCCGGAGGAAAAGAATATCTTCCTAAATTAAATCGGAAGATTATCTTCTTTATCTGTGCTTTTAAGGCTTTTACTGTCAAGCGCAATAGGTAACGGCAGCAGTGGAGGTAAAGCTGATGACGCAAGCAGGAAGTGCCCCAGTAGGCCAGACTGTCGCATTTCGGAGCCCGCTCGGTTCAGACTATGCGGTTGTTGGAGGACCAGCCCAGGTCTACCTTGAAGGCTGGAGGCCACAAGGATGCATCCTAGCGACTTTGAGACACAGCTACAGTCTACAGCAGCACTAAAGGCGCTTTCCCAATCCTTTCAGTCACAAATGTCCATCTCCTGAATCAGATAACTCTGTAAGCTAAACAAGTCCATCTGTCCTCTGTGCCTCCCTGTCAGATGAGCATGCTGAAGTGATGAATACAATGATGAAAATGATCAATTTTCTCAGGGCATCCTCTTCCACCTAGCATCGCATGCTGAGGGAATTCCTCAGAAGTTGATGCCAATGCTGATGATCTTTTGCTGCACAATAATGTGAGATGGCTTGGCAAAGGGAAGGTCTTAGCGCGCACTTTTGGTCCATCAGGAGGGAAGTAGCATCTTTTTTGGCAGAGCTAAGACATCAGAAGGCAACGCAGTTTTCTCTTTTTAGTAAATGAGAAACAGATGGATAATGTGGCCTTTTTGGTTGATATCACTGCACATCTGAATGAACTGAATTTGAGGCTACAGGGCAAGGACAATTCAATTTGTGAACTGATGACCGCTGTCCGCTCCTTTCAAAAGAAACTTGTTCTTCAAGGAAGACCTGCAGGGAGACTGTGCACACTTCCCAGCAGTGCAGGAACAGGGACAGAGAGATGTCTTCTTTTGTTGACTTCATTGATAAGCTGATCGTAAACTTCAGCAACCGTTTTGACAGCTTCAGCTTTTTGGACAGCAGCTCACCATGTTCATTCAGAACCCATTTATCATCATGGATGTCAGGGGGTTCTCAGAGGAAGTCACACAGCACTTTAAATGGGTAAATCCTGGGCCTCTCCAGATGCAACTGGTTGATCTCCAAGCAGATGTGTCCCTGAGAGAGCAGTTTCTAAGAACTGACCCTTCCACTTTCCGGCTCCAAACGGTCCCTGAGACAGCTTTTCCAGGTCTGAGGAAAGTTGCCATATACATCTTGACCATGTTTGGCTCCACCTACAACTGTAAGGCAGCTTTCTCCACGATGAATATCATCAAAAATAAATATTGTTCGAGGCTCACCAATGAGCACCTCCACATGTGCATGCGGATGGCCCTGACTCCATTCAAGCCCAGGTTTAAAGTCCTGGCAGGACAAGCTAGAGCTCAATTCTCCCACTGACCAACAAAGTGGGGGAGTGGGATGCAAGACTAATGCTCTAAAACTGTTAAATTGTTAAGATGTGTTAAGATGTATTATCTGTAAAATCGTTGAAACAGAACAGAGACTGAAACAGAAACGGGGACATTTAAGCTTTTCCTCCCTTTATTTTTTCTGAAGTTAAGCACTTTGATTATTATTACATGCACCATTTTCATTTTGTATTTATTTTATTTTAAAAATGCAGCCCTACTTTTATTTAGTTCATGAGAGAGCATTATACATATCTGCAGTCACACAAGTCCAGTTCTATTTTACATGATAATAAATATTGTTAAGTGTTTTAATCGTACCGAATTCCTTTGATTTGAAAGGTATTGATTATATGCAGATGTTTATACAACTACTAGGCTACTTAAATATATATCACACTAAATAGTTAGACGACATGATCTTCTGGACCTTTGCTTCAAGAAAATTTCTCTAACTGGACCTCTTAACATTTTAGTTGAATACCCCTGGTATAAATCCTGTCATCAGTGTGTGAATGGGTTGTGAATGGGTGAATGATGTCATGTAGTGTTAAAGGTCGCTATACAAGTACAGTCCATTTACCATTTACACCAGGGAAGTATACTTTCTGCACTATTGCGCAACATATCTAATGACTAAAGAAATGCTGTTTAAAGCTATTTATTCATAATAGAAATGATCTCCCTGTGTAACTTGGTCGTCTTTCATGGTGAATTGCGACGGGATGACTGAATAGGAAAAAAACTTCATCTCAAAAGCCTTTTCAGGTTTTTATTAGAAACCCTCAAGAAAGTAGAAGGTAAAAAAGGGGGACCAGAGAATGTGTGCAAGACTGGGGAAAAAAGGTGGTAAGCAGAGGTGGGAGATGGTGAGAAAGTTAGAAACTAAAGGAGGCTGTTAACACTTCCCTGAGAATTATGAGACTATTGCAGCCTGGAAGCACAGATGTAGAGCCACAGCAAGTGTTTGTGTTAAAAGTAGGTTGCTTTGTCAATGAACCTGTAAGAGAAACACTCCCATTTTCTATGGTTTATTTTAGTCATTTATGCTGTTTCGTAATAATGTACATCAAAAGGTTGCAGTGGTGTCACTGATTATGGGTAGTTTCTTTAATTTTAGTGATTTATAATATTCTTTGGGCAGCCAGAAAGCCGGTATGTCACGGTTTGGGTTTATTTTGTAGTTTTCTGCCTCGTCCTGTCATCCCCTGTGATTGTTTGATTGTTTCCACCTGTGTCCATTCACCTGCACCTCCCAGTGTATTTAAGCCATGTGTTTCTCTTGTCACGTCATTGTTATTGTCACATGTTCTACCTTCTGAGTCCCCGGTCCCCGTCTGCGTTTTGCCCTCTTTGTCTTGATCGTTTGGATTTTGACTATTAAAGTATTTTGTTTTGAAGTCTGCGTTTCAGTCCTGCCTCTGCCACACCCGCCTTCCTGACATGGTAGGACTGAAACATTGTAATTAACTTTCGGACATTATGTAGGGCTGCAACTAACGATTATTTTAATAATCGATTAATCGGTCAATTTATTTCGAAACATTGTAATTAACTTTCGGACATTATGTAGGGCTGCAACTAACGATTATTTTGATAATCAATTAATCAGTCGATTATTTCTTTGATTAATCGATGAATCGGATAAAAAAAAAAAACGGCATTAAAAAGCTTTGATTTCCAACCATTTATTCTAAAACAGAACTGCAAATTCACAGGTTGCTCCTTAAGCAATAATAATTTATAAAAAGAAAAACACAAATCAGCAAATTTTACAGGATTTTTTTTAACGTTTTTTTAAGTTCTCTATACTACACTCACAAACACAACCCCATGTTCACTTGAAGCTTATTCATTAAATTATTACCATCATTGTAGTCAAAGTAAATGTATACAGCTAAAAAATCAAGTGCTATGAGATGAATTTAAAATAAATAAATGCATTAGAGGCTTCTTAGTTGATTTAAATGGTCTCCCTTTATAGGCATAACATCAACTACCGTATAACCCACCGTAGATGCGCAAGCGCACTGGACTACCATATATGACACCATTCAAAAGTACAACCCACACAAATAGATTTGTCAACAATAGCCGTAGAGACGTATCATCAAGTTTCGTGGATGTTTGATTTACGCGCGAGCATGAACCTGATTTCCTTGCTCGCGGAACGTCATCATGATGTGATAACAGATCTTTAACGGTTAATCTAACAAACGTTGCTCCTTCATGAGGAACAGATCTGCCGTTTTTCTGGGGAACTTGCGCTAGAAGAGGTTCAAGTTTTTGATCCTGTACAGGATTAGAACAGGATCCATTAGCAAAATAAATCCAAAAAGAAAAGTCCTGTGTAGATTTTTTTGGCGTAATTCCGCCTTTTTTTTCCAATACATTGGCCGAGACCGCGACCTGAACTTCCATACCTCTGCAAATTTCACTCCCTTTTCTCACTCATCTTTTTCACTATTACGGTGTACATGTAATGACTGATTTCTTTTCTATCTGTTTTCTTCACAGCCAAAGGATGAACATTTGAAAGCCATTTCATCAGCTTCAATCACAAATTTTCGAAACCACAAACAAGCCAGAAAATTATGGATTCAACAGCAATAGCAAATGTTTTGAAATATTACCAACCAATGCCTTTAAACTAAGCCAGTCACCCAATGCTGCGATCACCAACATACCAAGCTGTGTTGTCTGGCGCAGGGGCTGATGTGTCAACTGTTCGCTGAATGGAGAGATTAAGTGGAGACAGAAGAGGGGGTAACAGAGAGAACAGCCATAAACATAAATTGTATGGAAGAACTCAGGAGCGATACAGTGGGCCCATTCATCCGATGACTGGAAAACCGATTATCTCTGAAAAGCGTCTTAATGTCTCCTGTTACACCGCGGGCGTCGCCGTCATTCAACTCATTTCTCCAACACATTATGAATATCTGTCGCTACACCGAGCGACTATCAATGTCCTTACAAGGCAGAAATGTCCCATCGGCCATCTGTTCTCGAGACAAAGGGCTCAGAGTTTGACAAATGAGAAGCGATTATACCGTTATTCTAAATGTGGAGCATGGACAAAAGAATGACAGCCAGCTATTTGTTAGAGCTGAAAATCATTTTGAACAGGCTTATAAAACGCTAAAACACAAAATGATGTCAAATGATTTATGGACTCGTAAAGAGTTTCTAATGCACGGTCAAGGAGTTGAAAATATTTACATCTTAACTTGCAGAAGTGCCAAAAAGGGTGGTGAGCAGTGTGAAGAAACAATCGTAAAAGCGTTCAAAATGGCCATGACAGTGTTTCGCTTTTCAGTCATAACATGTGTTGCGCAATAGTTGATAGGACAGGAAGCTGACTACTTAAACACCATACTGAATGTATCAATGACGCATGGACGACGCAGGACGTACAGATGTAACTGCTGTCGAAAATGTAGGACAGTATATGGGCACGAGATTTCAGAAAGGGTTATGTGTAATAACGGGAAATGACACCGGGGAAAAAGTAATGAACACGAAGAAAGGGAGGTACAAAAAGGTATAGGAAGCCAAGACAACAGCTGAAAACTATCAGTAATTAAAAAACAATCCAGACCCTTTCCAGTGCAAATGAATATGAGCTGGTGCAGTCCCAACTGATGGCCTACAAAAAGGTCTCATTGCCCAGGTATCACACAAGACACATCTCATGATGGGTAAAAGCAAAGAGCCTTCTCAAGACCTTTGCAACCTAATTGTTGCAAAACACAATGATGGCATTGGTTATAGGAGCATTTCTAAGCTTCTGAATGTTCCAGTGAGCCCTGTTGGGGCCATAATACGGAAGTGGAAAGACAATGATTTCACCATATATTTGTTTCGACCAGGTGCTCCTCGTAAGATTTCTGAAAAGAATAATCAGAAGAGTTGATGAATGGGCAAATCTGCTGCCATCTACAATGATGAAGATGAAACAAGGGTGGACATTTCAGTAGGACAATGATCCCAAACACACACAGCCATGGAAACTCTCAACTGGTTTCAAAGAAAGAAAATAAATCTGCTAGAATGGCCCAGCCAATCACCTGACTTAAATCCCATTGAAAATCTGTGGAAAGAACTGAAGATCAAGATTCATAGAAGAGGCCCACGGAACCTTCAAGATTTGAAGACTGTGTGTGGAAGAATGGGCCAAAATCATACCAGAGCAATACATGCAACTAGTTTCTCCATACAGGAGGCATCTTGAAGCTGTCATTACTTTGTACAAAAGCCTTTGTTGGTATTAAATATCAGTAAGCGTGTTCAACTTACTTGTTTTGGTTTCTTTGTATGTATGTATGTATGTATGTATTACTTGGGTTGTTACCAACATCTGGTGAAAATTTCATGTCAATAGCTCCTTTGGAAATATATTTACTGCGAAAAATTGTGACGTGTTCAATACTCATTTGACCCCTTGTATTTGTAAAATAATAACTGTGCAAAATCTATGCTTCCCTTCACAGCAAAGCAGTTTAGCCAATTACTGATGTAAGACATAAATGAGTGGCACAACTAGCCAAACCGCATCAGACCCTTGACCCCAGATAAAACAGATTCAGCCATGGGCCATTGTCGTTTGGCCCCGAGGCTGCGCTCTGGTCGGGGCTAGTCCCACAAGGCACCCTATTAACAACATGACTAGGCGAGCACGAGTAGCATTCTTCCAAGAAGACCCAACGCAAACTCTCTCTTCCAAGACCCATTTGAGAGAAGAACTTTGGCGGAGAAACTAGAGGTAAAACAACTGGACTCAGATCAGCCTGACCTCACAATCAGACTACGGACTGGCGTGCTAAAACCATATTTTGATTCCCATGCTGGGGAAAAGATCCAGCATGGACAGATACGGGAGTACAGGACATGGAGCACTCTTTTTGAAAAAAAGAAGAAAACATAACACCAGGACACACACTGACAACTCTGTCGATCCAGCTGTGTTCGGTAAAGTTAACATTGCTACCCATCTGCGACGGACACAGGCTCTGGGTGAGGAAACCCAACGATAAGGTGGATGAAAAAAGGCACATTTCATCCAAAATAGATGGTTTTGTGAAGTTTTGTGGGGATTTTTAGTTGGTCTTTCCTCAAGACACGGATTGGGAGTTTTGACAAGAAACTGTTCACAGGGGCATCTTTCTATTTATATACATACTTACACATTCTATTAGATTATCTTGTTTCATTAAATGCTGAATTGTATTAATATAATTGATGTTGACGTGTTGGAAAAAATGTTAATTTTTTTTTACATTGAATCATACTGGGATGTTTGCTGAAATTGGTTGGATGGCCCTACCAAAAAATAATTCCACAAGTTGCCACTGCTGTTGAGTGATACACTTAAGGTCTCTATTCGATCAAATACTTTGTGATTTGATTTGTTGAGAATAAATATCCTTTGGTTCTGATTAAACAACGTTGTCACTTATTTTACTGATGGACCTGGTCTGTGTGGCCTTTCACAGAGGAATCTTGAAAAGCAGCTTTTAGTGTAAAACAATCAATCTTCATATTTTGTCTCATTAGCCGGATGGCTGATATTTCTTTAATTAAACATGAATGAATTGCATGTACAGTCGTGCAATATTCCACCAGTCCCTTATCACACAGACAAGCCACTAAACCCGCATTTTATTCTAATGTCTTTCATTCTTCAGTCTGAAAAAAATATATATACTCAAAATATGGAACAAAAAACACACACACACACAAGGACCCATTTCTAGTATCTAGTAAGTGGTAAAAATGGTTTGTTACACTGAACTATTTGAGAAGCTGTCATTTAAAACTGGGCATGCCCTTCCAAAAAATGCTAGCCAGGTGCTATCTGTCAATCACTTGAATTGAATCCAGTAAAAAGATAACCAAAAACATGTTCCCATCAATACATTTTCCTCCTTTTGTACAGCAGTCATTTTCTCTTTTCACAAGTTCCTCTTTCAATAGTAATAATATTATTGCAATTTTATTCACTATGAAATAAAGCTTTACATTCCCACACTCTTATTCAGTTCATACTTTGTTGTGTTCTTTTAAACTTTCTAATCAAATCTTTAAATGTGACATTAGCAATGCAAATGTACCGGCAAAGTAGGCGCAACAATTTCTCAGTTGGTCAAAGCTGATGTTTACTACAGATGAAGCTGGCTGCAAGATTTTTTTTTTTTTGCAATAATTGAGAACTTGGTCAGCGTACTGTCTGTCAATTTTTTATTACTTTTTCATAACATTTTCTTCTGTGTCAATAACGCATTGACCAGTCATGAAAAAAGTGATCGACTTCGTGAAGTTATTGGATAAAAAAAAGCTAAGAAATAAGTCTCGGTGACATAAAAGGACAACATTCAGAAAATAATCTTCTGCATTCTGTGCAAAAAAGACGTCCTGCAACGGCTGAGAAATGCATACTGAAAGATGAAGGAGGCTATGTTCTTCTTGTTAACAGTTGAAAAGATAATGCTTGTTTGATTAACAGAGAAAAATTCTTTGACAACCAAAATTAGATGCCTTCCAAGCAATGTCGGAGCCCAAGGGCTGTCAGTCTGACATTGATTTGGCCTCTTAGGTCCCTCTCCCATCCATTGGTCATTGGATTCAAATAACAAAAATAACGGGTTGGAATTCAGAATCAACGTCAGCGACAGGACTGCAAAAAGTTTCAAAAACATTTTAGTCACTGAAAAGTTAAATCGCTGTCAGACAATGGTTTTGATATTGACGAAAATTGGATAGTGACATCATCATGACATTACAAACATTACTGCTGTGGAGGAACATTCAACACTGTATGAACAATAGGAACTAACAGCATTGGCTGTCTGTAAACAACAGACCAATACCACTCAAAGGATCCGATGGGGTCAAAGGTCATTGACCAGGAGTCAGTGGACGGTCAGGGAACATTCAAGAAAGGAAATTCACATCAAGATGCAAGAATCATATTTGAAAACCAGGGGTTATCAGGGGACAAATAAATGTGCCTTGAGGTAATGTCAGGATGCATGAGCGAACCCCGTTCACTTAATACAGAGTGTGACCAATAGTACGTCTAGATTCACTTATAGACTCTTGAACAGGAAGCAGAAGTGCTACAGAGTGAAATAGCGTGTCAAGTTAACCAACAAAAATCAAGAATGCAACCTGTACAAATGGATTTCCTGTTTGCCTTTAGTGAGTAGAATCATAGACTGAAAATAAGAAATAGACTTCGCTCATCGGTTTGTGGACTGTTGTTATGAAGCCTTGGGCTGGGCACACTTTGCTTCAAGGACTATTTAGGTTTGCAATGTTTACTGAGGTGATGAATCAAGTGAGAAGTAGAGGAATTTTCTCTTGGTCTTCCATACAACCGTCTTTTTGCAACTACTGAGTCCAAACAAGAGGAGAAGGTAGTTCAAGGCACTAAACAAAAACGGCGGTTGTTCTCTGGGTAGTTGCAGGTTTATCGGTTCAACGAGGAGGGTGGCGAATCTCTGCCAAAAGCGTGTGGGATTGGTGTTGTTACACCAGCTTTTGAAAACACAAACCAATCATGTATGTGTCCTAGTAAGCCTTTGATCAATTTCGATACATAGATCTCTTGTGTTTATGATCCAAGCAAAGTTTCTAGGAGGACCAACGGTTGCATTTTGCCGAAGGTCACTATTCACTCGTTGCACTTGAACAGCTGTTACTCCTGTCTAAATTTAGGGTTTATTAAGCAGAACAAACAGGAGAGCGAGGACAATAGTTGAACATTTAAAAATCCTTCAACACAACTCTGTATCAACGTGACCGGGTGCCCACAAAAACAGAACTCCGCTGAAACCCATGTTTGTACCTCAATATGTCCATACTGTCCAATGCTCAAACCTTCCCTGAGGAGTTTCTGAGCTTGAGCAAACACTCAAAAGGCAGTTCATGGCTATCTGGAATATTATTATATTCCACAGCTGCCACAACTTATGATGCTAAAATCTCTGTCAAACAGGCCACTGCTGTGGTGTTTATTTAGAACTTCCCCTCGACGGTCAGTCTGGATTTCAACAAGCAGTTTTTACAGGAAACGCTTTGCGGACTTACCTGGGCAAGAAATACATAACCTGGATAATGTCCCTACCAAAGAGAGCAGTAAGAGACATTCACATAAAATATGTTTAATCGACACTATTCAACTAATTTTGTCAGAGGGGGAGAGAAAGACGTAGGAGAGTGAATGAGAAGGGACACAGAGAGAGAGAAAAGGCAGGAAAAGGACACAGCAATAACGATTAAGGGCCTAGGACTGTGAGGGTGGCGATATCAACAATGAGAGGAAAAGGGGTCAGCAAATTTGACCGAGAAGATGAGATGAGAGAGTGCTGTAAATTAAAAAAGGGAGTGTGATGAAAAAAGGAGGAGGGGGGAGGAAATGGAGGCAGAAGAGTCAACGAAGACCTTTGGGAATTTGCATGTAAAACGAGGTGAGAAGAGAGAGAGAGAGAGGGAAGTAAGACAATCAGGGAGAGAAGAAAGGGGAAAGAAAGATGAGAGGAAAGAAGTGTCAGAGAAGGCAGGATGGCGTGAAAAGAAGGAGGGCATGAAAAGACAAGAGAAATGAGGAGAGGGAAGGCTGGATAAAGTGTCAGTTTGATGAAAAGTAACTTTAATCTAAAAAAATGTTTCAATCATTTTTGTGGATAAAACCTACACAAGGGTGTCCGAACACTGTAGTTCGATCTTCTAGTTCGATAAATCTAAATGGTGCCTTACTAATATGTTCTCCATGGTGCACCTATAATGAACATATAATTAATTCATGGTCTACTGAAATCTTCCAGTAAAGCCTGGCCTTATGCATTAGTAAAAATAAAGCGGATTGTATGAACCCAAGCAGTACTTTTGTACGTTTCACCGCATTTGTATAATTATTCTCAGTAATGATATTTGTATAATGTCCTTGTGAGAAATCCAAAGTATCTTAAACTCGTTGATGATTATTTCTATATTCTAATTAGTAATAAATACTATGAATATGAATACAGAAATCCTCAACACAAGCCGCAAGTACAGACAGAAGTCCAATGACTCCATTCAGCTGAAAAGGGACAGATTGTTCCTTACAGGAGCAGGAAGATCTGACGAAGCCTCATGATGTGAATAAAAGCTTTACTACACATGAGAGGTTTCTGTTGTCCAATCAAATGTGTTCAGGTCACAGGGTCCACAAAAAAGGTCACACACAGAGTTGCTGAGAGACTCACAGTATGCAGATCGATTAATTCTCCCCTAACACACGCCACATAATCCGATTAATAGGTATGGATCAAGATTTGAAGGTTGTTATGGCAATACTTTGGACACGGCACACAGTCTGTTGTATAATCTAAACCAACTGCTTAGAGATATATATTGGAAAATAATTCTAAATATCCAATTTTACGAGGAGCGTCCAAACACGCCAGTAATTTTGGTCTATGGTGGAAACATTCTTCTGTTTAAGGCAGTTTTTACTAGCCCAATTTAAGGTGTGTTACGTAAATCCTGGCACACACTCTCCCTCTCCTTACACTTTACACCCTCACCTGTACCGCATTTCCCTCTCTGCCTCCATGTCATCTTAAATGTGCAATATTTCATTTGGTCCCCAATTATCCATTCACCCACCTGGTGTGAGGGCATGTGTGCATCAGTGATACTGACATCTCCATCATTATAGATGATTGTTGGTGTTGGGTCATCACATCAAACTGCTGACCGGGGAAGACTTGCAGAGAGAAAGTGTGCGAGAGCGTGTAAGAGAAGTATAGAATTATAGAAATAATAGACACAGACTGAGTCAGACAGAGGTAGACACACATTGAACGCACCAGAGAAAAGATAGTGAGGGGTTTGAGAGAAAAGAGTGTGTTGGGCATTTTAACCACCTCCAGTCTTGCTTGTATAAATAGCAACGCTTTTTGCCTGACTGGACAGTCAGTGTAGTACTTTAGGGGAGATCTGGCTGCGCTCTCCATTTTTCTTGTCTTTTATTTATTTGTAGAAATACAATATTCTTTGGGTTGGGTTTTTAAGGACAACGTATTCCAGTAATTGTATTAACGACCTCACAAGCATTAGTTTCCCACCAAGAAACATTTTGTTACTTCTTTGTGACTGTGTTTGGAGAGTCACTGCTGTACCACATTAAATGTAACGTAACGTAAGCCAAATAGCAACGGTAATTATTGAATGACCAACATGGAAACCATAAGAATGTAAATGTTGATGGATGCAGGAGTATTGGTAGTAGTAGTTTGCAGTAATGGTTGGTAATATGTATTATTTCCATACCAATATTCGTGATGATATTATACACAATTGTATCTATTCATTTTTTATTGATTTCAAGAACGTATGATACACAAAATAAGTTGTAATTTCATGTACCAGTATTGTCAGGATCTTCGTCTGACCCGTTCTGTGTTTT